TTGCCTCTGATGTCTACTCGTTGCTCCTGCAGTCTGTTGTACGAATTCGTACGACGATACACACGACGTTACTTCGTTGATTCACGACTTTACGCACGGGCAAGCCAGCGACAGCCACTTTGTCTGGGTCAGTCAACACTGGAATGCAAACTGCCGTTTCTGTGTAGTAGAAATGGTTCGATGCATGTGTCGAGGCATTTTCTACTCCTGTACTGCTCCAGCATGCCTGCTCTTGTTGACGATCAGTTGATGCCGCTGCAGGCCAGGCAAGGAAAGCTCAACGAGAAACTGAGAAAGAAACGACAGGTGCACGCTTATCGAATGTCTGTCGAAGTCTGGCTCGCATGAACCGCGCGGCACGCTCACTTCGAAGTAAGGTTCCCAGTTGAAGGTTGAAGGCAGAGTTTCTTCCAAAGCAGCAGCCTACGGTACGGTATCTCTCCGCTGCTTACATACGCGCTGTTATCCGTGAGTGTCAATCGTCATCGAAGTGATCTGCTGTTTCCATACTCTGCTCCGTGGTACCGGTTGCGGAACATAACGACCCGGTCTCATCTACCGGCCTTCTCGCCTCGAGTCCTGCTTGCTGCTGCTGCTTCTGCTCCAAGTCTATGTAGCACATCAGAAGATTATCAGGTAGCTGTGTGCACACGTGTGGGGATATCTATGTTGCCTTCGGACCGCACAAGCTGTGCGTAAAACTAAGAGCCGTCCATCCCTTCTCTCTTCTTTTCTAATTATCGAAAGCGCGGAAGCTGAATGCGGTGTTTGCTTGTGTGTGCAACAAGCCACATTCCCTAACCGCGAGAAATCCGCACTCCGCGGAGGCTCCAAGTCCAGTGCGGCGCCTGCTTGAACCTACGCTTCGTTTGACGAGCGATCTGAAGCACGGGACATCGTCCTTGGTGCTGCTGGATGGCCTTCTCTTTGGCTCCCTCACAGCCTCGTGGCCTCTCGAAACACGTTCCACACGTGTATTCTGAAGCTTTAGCTTCAGTCTCATCTTTCAATATCCGTGGAACTTTTATTCGCGTAGCCCACCCCTTGCCCGACCCTGTCTCAAATGCCGATCTCGAGCTACAGTGTAAATCTCGTGGCGCCTGGAGTATGGTTCGGTGTGGAATCGCAAACCATGAGCCGTCCCCGAGTTTGAGCAGCTTCCGCCTCCTGTGGCCGGCAAGAGTGGACCTGGACTGTTCCTTGCCCTGTTTCGCCATGAGAACGGCCGGTTGAACAACGATAGAGGGTCCTGCGTGCTGCGCGCCACACTCTTTTTTTATTTATTTTTTTGCGTTTGTTTGTTCTTGAGTGACCATTGTACACATGCGGCTGCTGCTGCGGTTGCTGCTGTTATGCTCGGAATGTGCTGCAATGGTCGTACGGTTATCGTAGTCAGGTTGACAACAGTCTGCTCGTTCGTGTAGCGGTAGCGGTGCGCATCTATCGCGACGGCAAGCAAGCGCATTGAGATAATAGTTCGTCCGTCGTGCTTCTAGTCTACACAGATAGGCGTGTTCTTCTTTGTTGCCACTTCATACCAGAAAAGAAAGAAGGTCTTCACCAACTTACAGCATCTCCTACAGCAGTTCGGAAACGACGACTAGACTATTTTTCCTTTGTCGTGTTTGTTGTTTCTGAGCGCTCATCGGGTGTCGCCGTTCGTTACACGTGTTCAAGCCTGCGGTGGGCCAGAGGGATGAGAGTGGGTGTCTTCTCTACAGTGTAGAGTTCATGCCTTGTCTTCTCGAGTCTCCCTTCCTTTTTAGTCTACCTCTCTCTCTCTCTCTGTTGCATTTTCGCCGTTAGGGTCCCAATAACATCGAACGTCAACGGCAGTCGTTTTGCATCTTGCTGAGTAGGAGGCTACCCGTGTACCCGGTTGCTGCATGTGAGGCGATGGGCGCCGCCTCTTTCCGTCAAGCAATGTACATGGCCCCTACGGTTCGCCGCACATGCAGTGCTGTGTGACAGCTTCCAGCGGTTCAGAGCGGCGACGATGTTTTTCGCCGGTAGGGGCCCAGAACAACGCGAACCGCGACTACTGTTGTTTCATTGTTTTGGGGTCCCCCACTCACCCAACCCACCCATGAATTTTGTTTTTTGTGTTTCCCTGCCGACTAACAACCTCGGCTACTGCAGTGCAAATTTCATGGCGCCTCAAGTACGGTTCCGTAGGGAATTGCAAATCACGACCCCTCCCCGACTTTGAGTATAGCTTCAACCTCCTGCGGCGGATAAGACCGACGTCAAACCCTAGATTTTGTCTGTCTGTGTCGCCATGTGGCCATCCACGAACAGCAAGCAGTTGGAGAGTCACAATAAAGAGGATCTGCTTCGCCACCAAGCAGACAGTTTTTTTTTCGTTTCTTCTACAGCTGGATATGATGGTACCATGTATCGGGTATAGCTGTGGTTGAGCTTGAGGGGTAGGGTCAGTCTACGGTAGCATAATATTCTGTGCGAGGAGTTAATGCCTTCCTCGCGTAACGATGCGCATCTCCCACGGCAAACAGAATGAAGTACGTCATTATGACGCTATTTCTTGTGACTACAAGTTCAAGTTCGCCCGGGCGTTATTGTTCTTACCGGAGAGAGAGACTAAACTTCTACTACAATACGTACCAGTTCGTGTACCCAGGTATGCATGTTGTGAGGTAGTGGGTGCTGCCCCTGCTGTTTGCTGCGGTACATGGAAAGCTTCCGGTGGGTCAGAGCGGCAAGGGGGCCTTGTTTCTTCACTTGTTTCTTAGCTCTGCTCTCCTCTACTTCTTTGTTTCCTGTCGCTGGCGGTCACTCTTTTTTTATCGCCCTTCGTTCTTGCTTGCAAGAAACTGTGAGGATGTAAACTGGCTGAGTCTGGCTGTTTCTTAGGGTCCCCCGCCCACCCACGACCCACCTGTCGGTTTGATTCGTGGTCTCCAATTTTTTCAGCAGTAGTTAGTTGTCTAGTCAGGACATGCGCTACTACTGCTGCTGCGTCCGTCCATGGGTGGGTGCAACAGAAGAGCCCCGGGGACTGGTGGCCTTCTGACCTGATCGCAGAGAGAGGTTCCTGCCACTACCACAATACGACTCTTACTGAATGTCCATGACGGGGAACGCGTACTACCTCGCATAGCGTATTGCAGCAAGCGGGGGGTCCTGGACTATAATCTGTCGTTGACTTGCGGACCCTTCTTCGGGTCAATATCATTTTCGTGTAACTTGTTTGGGTAAGTTAGCCTGTGACCACGGCGGGGATCGACCGCGTCATTTGTCAGACTATCATACATAGTAGTACGGACAGACGAAGAAGGTACTGGGTAGAGAGAGCAGAACGAACGGGATTGTAATTGATTGTGAAGACAAAAAAAATAACGGAACTGCTGGGTTCGTCCATGGATAGTTTTTGCAGCACTTATGAAGTATTAGCGTACAAAACGACTTCTTCATTATGTTTTTTTTTTTTTTCACTTCAGATCAGCGCTCACAGCACTAGTGCCGTTTACTCCAACCCGTGGTCACACAGAAGAGCCTCTCTCTACCCTCCCCTCCTGCGGTACTTTGCCTTCGATTTTTAATGAGAGAAGAGTTCAGCACTCTCTTCCCTCTGTGTAGAGGGTGCTCGTTGTTCTTATGCATGGCATGTACTGGCAGTAGTAGGTGACATAATATATCGCATCATCAATATTCACACCTAATAATGTTAGTCCACGACGATGAGGATGTCAAACGATAGGTTTGTTTCGGAAAGCTATCGGTGCCAACGCCGCCCGGCCTCGATTTCTGCTGTGGAGTAATCGAGCTTTGAAAATTAAATGTTTGTGGTACTTGGATATGAGTCCGATCTGTGCATCCTCTGTGGGGGATACGCGTATGGGAAGTATGGGTGTGAGGGTATGCATGCGGTTGTGGTCCAAGTGTGGGGCCCCCGGGAGCACACGGCGGTGTGCTCCTGGCACTTGCCTGAGGGGCTTGCGTGACGAATACATACAATACATGGTCCTTTTTCATCTGCTGTTCCTGGGATAACACAGTCCTCAGTCTCAACACCACAGACCGCTGAGGGCGGCAGTGCACTAACATTAAAAATTGTTCAGGGGGTGTGATATCTTATGCCATCTACTCTGTGTATAGAACTCTTTGTCGTGCTCGGTGGGCGAGCGTGTCGCGTTGTGCGCCCTCGACTTTATTTACGGCTAAAAAACTGGAAAGCTTCAGACAGGCAACGCGACGATACTCGTCGAGTTGCTATCACAATAAGCACATGCCAGCCTCTCTCTGTTCAAGCGCGTGCGCTGCAGTGGCTGCTACTGTTGATGCTCCGGCCTCGGCCGCTCATCATACCCCTTGTCCATCTCACCCTCGGTTCTCAAAGCAGAGACGTCGCAAATCATATTCCCGCCCGCCCCCATGCGCAGGGCATGAATGGCTCGCAATCACACACGAACACACACGTGCCCCATCCGCACAGCATACGCAAGAGCATCCCGTCATACTCGCATACCCAGAAAAACATGCAGTTTATTGCTTCCTCATCTTGCGCCACCTCCCGTGTCCAAACACCAACAACCCCCCGGATGAACCCGTGGTAAGTCCACCGTTTTCTCCGTCCCTGTGCTACTGCTGTGGTAGGATTTTCCATTGCAGAAACGAATGTTGCGCCTCATTCGGCTGCGCAAGAGCCCAACGACCTTCTGGCCGAAGCCAAGCCTGTGGTTTTCTTCCTCTACCCTCTACCCTGTAGACTACTCACCGATTTCGTTGACACTCACTGCGTTTGCACTGACTCTCTTGGAGGCTATTGCCTACTTGTTGGCTGTTCGACCTTAAGGGATCCGTTGGTCTAACTGCAGCACATCCTAGATGGCCTCCTCCCTAACAAACGTGTTGTTCTTAGATGAGCATACCGAATTTTGTGTCATGACTGCTGTCTCACATCGGTCGAACTGCTGCTGCTACCGCTACCGCTGCTGCTGCTGCTGCTGCTGCTGCTGCTGCTGCTGCTGCTGCAGAAGCAAATGTCTAGCCTCTGCGGTCAGCACTGTATCAACAACTTGGTTCAGGCGGCAAGCTATTCCGCCGCAGACCTGGCGGACATCGCCCTCGAGCTCGACGACCAGGAGAGGCAGCACATGCTGGCTGCGGGCTCCGACACCCCGGACGCGTTGAAGTACGTACGCTTGTTGGTTTGTTTCAGCCCAGCAAACAGAGTTATGTACTTGTGGTAGCAGCGTAGACGGGGAAGATTTAAGCAATGCACGAGAGACGTGGATGATGACTTCCTCAAACATCGGAGGTGTATCATGCAAGATTATGTATGGCTGGTACTATTTTTTTTTTTTCGCAGTATAAGGGTCGGCAGAGCCATGCGCCCCGGACGCAAAGTGTGGGAATAAGAAATGGTGTAGAGGGGGGGCAGTACATGCCGGGCCGAGCCCATGGGGTGTTGGCGTGCCGCAGACGTCAGTTTCGTGCACCTGTTACTCCACATCCAGCTTCGGGTGAAAGACATCTCTTCGGAGTTGGGAAGCCCTTGGGTCGAAGTAGCGCGGCAAGACCTTCCACGGAATATTGCGGTTTGACTCTAGCAGTAGTTTTGTTCTCCGAGCCCCCCTGTCGAGTTTTCCTGCGTGGAAAAGCGAGCGCGATCGCTACCCTCTTCGCGAAGTACAGTTTCTTTTTATGCCTTGCGGTAATGTAGGCAATACCAATTCCCCACATGCGTGGGAAATAGAAGGCGGCCAGTCAGTCTCGCTCACCGGTCAACACCGACCCGTGCATATCAAAAGTGTCAGGTATTTTTCGTCCAAGAGCGTGGATGTACGCACCGCACACACTAGCGCCTCCGCTGTTGAAGTTCAACCCGGCACGCTGTTTGTCGACTGACTGCAAATCTAACCCTAACCCATCTGGTGCCGGTGCGGGAAGGTTTTTGGCGGAAGAATCTGGAAACGTGGACGCCGCAGGAAATTTCTCTATTCAGGTGTGTTGGGCCGGTACGGACAGTAGAAGGTTCTGAGTAGAGACCGGAACGATTTGTAAGGTGAAGACAACAACAACGACAACAACAACAAGCTACACTGGTAGATTCTTCCTGTCATTTCCCTAATAAGGGCACGTGGCACAGCTTTAGAGCTGATTCTCCGCGAGAGTCGAAGGAGCTACGGTCTTGACTAGCGAGAGTTGTGTTTTTCGCCATGTAACGCTGTTTACATTCTGGCCTCACTCCGAGCCGTGCAATTACTGCGGCAAGCGTTTAGTGTTCCGCCAGTTCTGGTCCTGCCGTGATTGTGGTGGTTGAGCAACCCAGACACGTACCCCATAGACGAGTGTCAGAGGGAAGTGCCCGACTTATCGTCCCTTACCGGTGGTTTACCCTCTTAGACAAGACTACCTACCCCGTCCCAATATCCACGCTCAGAGACGTTCCGGCTTTTTTCTTATCACAGGTACTAAACCTTGATTAATATGGTTAGAGCCTATTTACCCTCGTAGCCAAGAGCGCCCATCCCATCCACCACGCTTGGATGCACTTCTTTTTTTTCTTTGTTACATACCGCAGGTCCTAAACACGGCCCTGAAGCGACTGTACGGGGCGTACCTTGTATCGGCGGGCAGCGAGAGCGTCGGAAAGCTCAGCACCACGGGGTGAGAAGAGATAGGACAAGAGCAGCCAAGCATCGAGCGTGGGATGGGAGGGGGAGGCGTGGTAGTGGAGGGCGGGTTAGGGGGGGTGAAGAGTCGGCTTTGAGGGGAAGTGACAGCAAATGACATGCTTTCCTCTCGCCGCTAGGGTAGAAGTAGCCCCAGCACGGTGTTTGATGACGTCTTCTTTGAGGGATTTCAACGGGCGTGAAATCGCTTAAGTCGTCGAGCCGGCAATACTATTCTGATGTGTTACGGTTCGTGTACAACCGATTCGGTGAGCTTGTTGGTGCTTTGGGCGAGACAGGAGTCGGCGCTCTAGAGGCACCCACGGAATATGTTCAAGTGTTTTCCCTTGTCTTCACGGAGGTACTTGAGCATTACATTGCCGCCAGGGTTGGCCGAAACAAAAAGATTATTCGGTGGTGGTTCGATCTTTAGAGGTGGTATTGTTGTTCTTGTGAAGTGAAGAACCGCTCTGAATTTCAATCGCGTACACCCCGTGTCCGCTTTCTTCACTTCAAATAGACCGGTTGGTTTTGCGGTGAGTTTCTATTCACAACATTTTCGCTGTCTCCTCTTGCGTACGTACGTGAGCAGATACGATGTCGAGGACGCCTTCGTTTTGAACCGACACGCGCATTGGGTGGCCGTGCGCTCTATCGGAGGGGCATATTGGGACCTCAACTCCATGCTGGACAATCCAAGTAAGAGAAATGCTGGATAGCCTTATGTGAGAGGATTGCTGGATAGTCTTATGTGAGAGGACTGCTGGATAACCCAAGTAAGAGGATTGCTGGATAGTCTTATGTGAGAGGATTGCTGGAAAATCCAAGTAAGAGAAATGCTGGGTAGTCTTGCGTGAGAGGACTGCTGGATAACCCAAGTAAGAGAAATGATTGATAGTCTTACGTAAGAGAAATGCTGGATTGTCTCATGTGAGAGGATTGCTGGATACTCCAAGTGAGAGAAACGAAGACCAACCACTCCCCCCTCGCTGATGGACGTCTACGGCTACATAATGCTCGACTGCTGTTTCGCCCCGAGACTTTACATGCACCACCATCTCAACGGACCGTGTTGTAGTCGCTTTGGAACACTCGTGTAGGGAAAGACTTGAAGGGGCACCCACCCTCTCAGAGCGAATTGGTTGGCGTGGGTATTTTGGCTTTTCCACAGCAACAATAGAAATGATGCGGGGCTTGTATTGGGCACACACACGACCCCCCCCCCCCCACTTCGACGGGTACGCCTTCTCTCGTCTCGTGGAAACCCTTGCAGCGCGAATCACGACCTTCGCTCTGGAAGCTTACCTGCACCAGCTGCGAGAAGACGGGTACTCGGTCTTCGTTGTAAGGGGGGACGATCTGCCGCCTCCAGCCACGGAGCCCCGCGAGGGATCGAGGGACTGCTGGTACCGCGTAAAGGACTTGCTCGAGGTGTCAAGAGGAGGTATGAGACGGTGCTAGAAGAGATGCAGGGGGGGGGGTGATGTGTGATATATTTGGTGTTCCCTGCAATTGCGTAACGTTCTGCCGCGTCATGATGCGTCTCGACGAGTCTGTTGGCTGTTGTTTCTCGAACGTTCCCACAATCAACGGCGAGTGAAGTCACGCCGTCGCACTGAAAGTCAGTTTTTTTTGTTGTTTCATGCCTTTTTGTTATTGCTTCCGCTGTCATTGAGAAGACTGCAACCACATTTGCCCCTTGCGCCTTGTTTTCCGCATTGGTTGTTGTTGTTGTTGTTGTCTTCACATTCAAAACCGTTCCGTTCTTTCTGCCCGTACCTTCTTCTGTCCGTACTAGTCCGCATTGCTTACGCGACAATAGAAGGATAGATAGCGCACAGAAACAAACTTCCCCATCTGTTTTGCGGAATCTTATCCTTAGGCGTCATCAGAAAACACTACCAAACACCCGCGCTGTCTCTTGATTGATGAATGGTATGATGTTGCTGTTGTTAGTCTCTTTTAAATGTTGTTGGATGTTGTTGTTGTTTTGTGTCTTTACCGTAAGAACCACTTCGATCTCTGCTCGAAACCTTTCAACCTCTATAGTGAAGCACAAGGAACTTGCTTTCTCCCTCTCTCTCTCTCTTTCTGCAACACAGGAAAAGGATCTGGCGGCGCATTGAACACGGCGGCCACAGACGTCTGGCTCAACTCCGGTCCGGGGCAGCGCCTAGACGGCGGAACAACCTCCAAGGGTCCGGGAAAAGACGGGCGGGATAGCGGCGGGGCGGGCATGACGTCCGCCGAAGACATGCAGCTCGCGATGGCGATCAGCGCTAGCATGGGCGGTGGGGGGGCTGCTGAGGGGGGGGGCGAGGGGGAGGATGAAATGGCTCGTGCCATCGCGTTGTCGTTGTCGCAAGAAGAGTCAGCGTCGTCATCGCCAGCAGGTGAAAGGAAGGAGGGTCGTGGGGGGGTGGTTGATATTTTTTCATGTCGTTTTATCATCTTGTGGGTCTCTTGTCGCAGGCTGTTTGGTCAAGGTTAGGGAGTTTTCCTTTTTTTCCTGGGGGGGGCACCGCCACATGTTTTTCGCATATGCGGTCAGACCCTTGGGTTGCGTCCGTACACGTAGTAGCTCAGAGCTCCTGTTTCGCCTGCCATGTACATTTTCTTAACGAGGAGTTATCCTCTGTCTGATTTTTCATCCACATTGAACGTAGAGCACCCTTTGTTCCTGTATTTGCTGTTGTACTTACCATGCACTAGTTTTTACATGTACTTACTCCTATCCTTTGTACGGAAATCGGAAGCTCCCGTCTGTTTCTGAATTCTTCGTGTCTACAGTTTTTATCTCCTGTCGTATTTTCGTGTTAAAGAGATGCCATTACTTTTGGTGTTCTGGTCATCGACGTGCCGGCGGTTTGTCGCTTGGAGGTACTTGGCATTGTTTTTTTTTAAGGTCCATGATGAATTTTTTTGCGAATGGTAATGGTTCGTGCATGTTCGAGGTGAAGGCGCACATGTCAGACAGCAACTGAAACGAAGATCGAGTTCTTCTCGCACCTTCGTTCCGAAGGCTGATCCTGCCCTAGCTGATTAATTCACACGTTCTGCCGTATCAGCCGAGACCATGTATCTTTAAAGGACACCGCGTGCCTTCCTACAACGTGTGTGTCCTTACGTGTGGGTGCTTTAGGGAGGAACAAAAGATAGGGGTACGGTAGGGTTTCCCTGTTCTCTGGCGTCGCTCAGACGAGAGGGATTAGGTCGTGTTGAGTCCTGCGGCTGATCTCTGCTTTCGTTGCCGTCGCTGCTGTCACCAGGCTTATACACACCACAACCAGTACCGGAGCTCCAACCCAATGGCCCGGACGTAGTGCGAGTTCAGGTAAGCGGCTGAGAGTGTGTGTCCCCGTACGTTTCTCATTGGAACTGCTTGAAGAGTGGTTCGCCTATTGCAAGTGTAGCACTACTATTCCGCCTCTTGAGGAATTGGCAGCCAAGAATCGAGGTTCGATGTTCAAAATATCGAAGAAAATGTACACGCAGGCAGTTGTGATGTTTTGGTTCAAAGCCCCCTCTATACAACCATTTGATATACTCCTACTAGCCCACAAACGGCGACAGAAACCGAGGCTCTGGACAATGAGAATATCTCCAAGTTTGGCCCTATGAATATTATTCCGATTACATGGCGGAAGCTAGCTGCGGTGTGCTGGCCACCGGTGAGGCGCGCGAGTATGCCCTTGGTTTCTTGCGCGAAGTACTTGTTTTCGAGAGTGGCTTAGCATCTGCCATTCTTGGTAAGGTCTTTGTGCTACCGCGCAACGGTTTCTCCGGTTCTTGACGACAGAAAAAGAAATAAAACTTTTCACGTCGGTGTCACGCCGTCGCTGCGCGTTTTACCACTCTGTCTAAAATATGTCAGTGTACGTTGGGCATGCGTTCCTCACATACACGAACACCGGTGTTACAGGTGACACGAAGCACGCGTACATAATACATAGTATGACCCCACTCCTAAATACCACCGTCGTCTCGTCTGCACCCTCACCGCCGCGAAAAAAAAAAAAAAAATGTTAAAGCTCCGAGTCGGGGGCGGCCAGAGAGTCGTCCACAGCTTCAGACGGTCCGATCCCCTCACGGCGCTTTTTGACGTGGCGGCTCAAGCCCTCGCCAAGGCCGACGGTAAGGCGCTGCCTTCTCCCTTCGACGTGGTAGCGCCAGGAGGACGGGCGCTGCTCAAGGCCGGGGTAGTTGTACCAGGGACCGATGGGGGCGATGTAGCAACAGCAGCGAAGCCGGCGGGGGCGGGTGGGGGGGAGAGTGATGGCGGTGGCCCTACGATAGGGTCGGAACAGCTGGGCGGGGCGAGCGTGATCGTGCGCAGGGCTTAGTTTTTTCAGGGGGTGTTTTTGTTTGGCGTTGCTGTCACTGGGCAGTTCCGTCCGTGTCTTTGCGGCGTCTCTGTGACACCGTCATCGCCGCATGTTTGTTGACAGTTCGGGCATCGCGGGGGTCGAATCACGTGGGCGGATGGCGCAAGACGGCTAAACGAGGTAGGATCCATAACGTGTGCAAGATGTTGTGGCATTGCTGCCGCTGGTCTTTAGGAACACCGGGATCGGAACGCTCGCGAATCATGGCGGACCATAGTCCCAGTTCCAGTTGAAGGGCTCATGGGCGGTGTGTGTCCTCAGGCCCCTTCTGCAACGTGGACGACTCGTTTGTCGGTTGCGTTTTCGGTCCAGAAGGCGAGAACGCGGGGCCTTCGTGTGAGACCTGGAGCTACATTCCCTCTTTGGATCGGATCGGCGCACTACTGTGCCGCTTGGGACATGAAGACCCGCGGCACAAGTACGACGGAGGCTGCGTCCGACACTTATCCCGGCAAAAAAATTAAAAACATGACCCGTTCGGATCAAGCTGGGTTGTGTTGTAGACGGTAGAGATGAGACACTTACTCTTAAATGAGCGAAATAATGGAGGTGTTTGAGCGTTACTTTCTGGGGCTTCCATTGCAAAGAACCAAGTGTGTGGTATGTCTAGGCCTATCGAACGTAGGCCATTCGGTTACCCTTCGAAACTAGCTTCCGTTCTATGGGACGCGTGGGTCATGGTAGTATAGACTCCAAAATCGGCGGGGGTCTGGCTCTTGAATCCTCTCCCCTTCGCATGCAATTCGGCGTGTAGATGACACCATGCTCGCATCCAATCATCGGTCGAGCCAGCCATGTTTCCTATCAGCCAAATCGGCGCATTCATTTTAATCCCTCCTGAGCCCTCCTCCCGTACGCGCTCTCCCACCGCCCCAACATCAACAAAATCACCACTATCACCACTCATCCTCCTCCTCCTCCTCCTCCTCCTCCAAAACCAACAACACGGCATATTTTTGTTCAAAAAACATCACGTCACGATAACAAGCCCTTGCTGGCCCACGGGCGGGGTGCTCTACGCTAGGCCAAAGCTACATGCTGTCGAAAGCCGAAGTTGCTGCGTGTTGCCCGGCCAATCCCCCAACCACAACTCCTGGACGCGAGGATCATGGTCAACCCGAGCCAAAGAAGCTCCAGAACGCCACTGAACCAAGTCGAACTCCATCATCTGAGAGATAAAGCAAGAGCCCGAACAAACAAAGCCGTTGGGGGGAACCAGACATGCCCATTAGAAATAGCGTATGGTCAGCCTGAACGCCAACAACCGCAGCTACGCTCTCATCGCCGCATACCACATCGCCAAGTCACCGCCGTTGCGCCCCTCTGCCCTACCTCCGTAACGTACCAATGGTGTCACAAGATACCACCCCCCCCTTCGCCGATTTTCGAAGCTCGATTCCTCGATGAAGAGGATGCCAAACCACATGATCAAGATCTCGACGAGACGGTTCCAACGCCGTCATTTTGGGGGGCACCGTCACTGTTTTCGCCGCCGAGTAGTCGAGTTTTGAAAATCGTTCCAGGGGGTGTGACATCTTACGTCATGGCAACCTACGGCTTGAATCAGGAAGGGAGCACCGGCCACCTCGCACGCCCACCGCAGCTGTCAAGAGTAGAAAGAGTGCGTCAAGATGCCCCCACAAGGTGGCAGCTACATCGGGCCCGGCCGCGAAAAGGAAGCCCTGACCTGGTGTGTGATAATATTCTAGTGGTACAGCAGAGCCGTTCCCTCTCTACCTCCCAGTCGCTGGGCACACCGCCTCCCTGACGGGACGTTTGTACACAAGGAGACAGCGGTGGACATTACAACGCCATCGACGAAACATCAAGAAGGCGAGAGAGAGAGAGAGAGAGAGAGAGAGAGAATAACAAGCTGACAGACGCCTCACTCTATCCTAGGACACGCGGTATCCCGCCGTCATCGCGGGCGGCTGCTCGGCAGATAAGGACACCCGCCGCGCGGAGAAGTCGCCCGCCCGCACGTCTATGCTGTTGTCTTCCGAGGGGCAACAGCTCCCAACGCTTCCGCCGCCGCCGCCAACAAAGCTCAACGCATCACCGTCCTCACTACCAAGCGGTCTAGGCCCTTCTTTGCTGCTGTCGCCACCGCCGCTGTTGACGCAGCCCTCTTCGAACTGAAGTCCGATCGCGGCCGGCCGGGTGCGGCTCACGTTACCCAGGGGCTGTTGCTGCTGCTGAGGGGAGATCGTCTGTCCTACACCCACCACCGCCTTCCCCCCACTCGCCGCAGCCGGCCGTGCCTCCGTCGCCGTTGCCGTCCTCTCATTATCGCCGTGCCGTTGAACCTCCCGCCCGTCATTGGCCTCTCTGCCTTCCGCTACTGCTGGCGCTGCGGCAATCGCGCCTTCTTCTGTTGGTACTAATTCTGCTGCTGGTCGTATTGTCGCGGCCCCTGCTGCTTCCTTCCCTGCTTCTACTTCCGCTACCGCTGCTGCTGCCGTCCCTCTACAGGCCGCCAGCCACTCGGGCCATTCGTCCGGAGGCAGCTGTTTCCCCTTGACCACACCAGCCACCGCGATCGCCTTCGACGACACCGCCGCGGGCGCGAGAGCGCTCCTTGGTGACGAAGACTTGGAGGAGCACCCACAACCTTTACCGCCAGTCCCCCCGTTGGTCCCTCCCACCCTCGCCCCGGCCGCCTCCGCACGCACACCGCCCCAACCCCCGCAGCCGTCACCGCCCCAGGCACGCACGACTCCCGCCGGCACGACCCCTAGCACGGGGTGGAAAACCAGGTAGTCGTCAGGCTTCGGCCTCCTGTCCCACATCAGGGGGGTCTCTCCATCATCATCTCCCGGCACCACGCCCTGGTCACCGTTGCCGTCTTCTCCCTCTTCGCTATCCGAAATCAGGTCCGGTAGGTCGGAATCGTCCACGGGGTCCCCCGAGAACACGCTGGCCCTGCCCGAGCAGAAGCTGCCGGCGCGGGAGCGGGCGTGCGCGATGGCCGAGTCGAGGTCTATCGCCCAGCGCTGACGGCGGTCTCCGCCGAAGAACGGTAGCCAATGCGGTATGCTTCCTGAGGGGTCGCGGGTTGCAATGAATGGGCATGTGGGGTTGTTATCAAACAATACACCCTCCGACGGCACTGCATTTGAAAACGTAGCATCGTGGGCCGTCGGCGTGTAGCGAGGGCGTGTGTGGACAACCTTTGAGGGCTCCAAGCTGTCACGTATCAAAACACAACAACGTTCTACGTAGAGCCAAGCGTGGGTAGCCGCCGCCTGAGCAGAGACTCGAGGCATGTTAGTTTGTCTGTATAGCGCACGCACACACTGCCGCCGCGTTGGTGTGTCCGTCTATCTAGTTAACAAACGGATGGATAGTTTCGGCTAGGGCTTAGGGTAGACAGCACAAGCAAAGGTGAGGGCGGTATGCCGACGCTCCTGCTGTGACACCCAGGTCACCTTCGAACATCACAGACCTATAAAAATACAAGAGGCCGGTGACTCACCTCGCAGGAATGTGCCCAAAACAAGCGCGCTCAGCAGCAAGATGCACGCGAACGCTCTCCACGAAGGCCACGCCTTGCCGCCAACGATGGCGGTCTCTAACACCCCCCCCCCCCCGCCCCGCTTCTCACTTCCGCTCCCTCCCCCGCCGGTTCCTGCAGGCAACTCTCTCTCACGCCGCCCTTTTCCCTTGCTACCACCAGTAGGACCGACCTTCGCGTGGCGATTCCACCGGCCTGGTGTTGGCTCCTCCGCCCTGGCACCCTCATCGGTTGCACCGGTCCTTCCATCCCCGTGGACTACAGCCGTAGCGCCCGGGTGTTTTACACCGCCGGTATCCCTGTCCCGGGTGTTGGTGTTCGCACCCTGTCCCTTCACCAACGGCCCTCTTTGCTCTTGCTGGGGAGGCCGTTCTGTTGCTACGGTAGGCCGGGCTTCGGTGGGCAAGCTACTCTGCTCCGTGGTGGATGGTGGTCTGGACTGCGGATAGGCAGCCGTGGCGATTGTTGCGTAGCCGTCGACGAGTCTGGACTGCTGTTCTTTTGGTCCGGCGGTGGTGAAATCAGCAAGAGAAGCCGCAGCTGTCGTGGTGAATCGTCCGTCGCGCCTGGGAGGGCCTTCTCCGCTAGACGACGCCCGCGCCTCGTCATCCGGCACCCGGCCCGCATCCCCTGGGATAGATGATTCTCCTCGGCATGCCGCCGCTTCTCCGTCGTCGTCGCCGCCGCCGCCGGCACCAGCGGCATCGATGCAACTACCGGTGCCTTCCTGACTGCCACCCACGCCTCCTCCTCTTACCGCCTCCTTCTTGTTGCCAGCCCCTGTTGCCGGAGGAAGCACGCAGTCTTCGCCACCGGCACACCACGATGAATCCTGAAGGATGTCCGGCACCGTACCGCCTATCGTCTTGACCGCGCCGGGATAAGCATCCGATGACCTATCCGACAGGTGGCACGACGGCTCCAGCGCGGGAGCGGGTACGCCCCAAGCCTGCCCGTCCCATGGCTTGCCGTTGCTCCGAACACCCTTGTTGCCATTGCCTCCTCCGTTAGCGCTGCAGGCCCCTTCACCGTCTCCGTTGATACATCTGGAGTTCCGTTCTTCGGCCTCCAGCTCTCCCTCGTCGGCATCGATCCAGCTACTGCGGGCTGTGTGCCATCCTTTGCCTCCGATGCCGCCGCCGCCGCCGCCTGACGGGGTTTCGTCTATAGGCTGAAGCTTTTGCCGTCGGGGGGCATGCGCCACGGCGGCGGCGGCGGCGGCAACGGTGGGGGAGATCGAAAAAGACAGCAGGATGGCATATGCTGTCAAGGAAGCCAAGGAAGCTGCAGGGGAAGCGTGATCCCGCCGTTTTCGTCGTCGTCGGACCATGGGTGTCGTCGGATGCACCTCCACCCCCGGTGGTGCGTGTTCAAAACGCAGGGGACGTCCGCTTGTTGTGCAACCTTGGTGGAGATAGGACGTAAGAGGGGAGCGAGGTGAATGCATGCATGACGGTAGAGACGAGAGATAAGTATCATGGGGCGCCGGACAAGAAACCGAGAGCAAGGCATCACAGCGGTTACAGCGTCCCTTGTGCTAGAACATGTCCGGTTATGGGCGGTCGCTACTCTGTGGTTGAAGTGGTGGAGAGACACGTGGGAAGACGCGGCGGCGGAGCAAGAAGACATCTCTCCCGACCAGCTGATTTGATATCCCTGCTGCTGCACATGTCGAGAAGACAGACCTGGGCCACAGCACTGCCAACGCAAGATATACCGAGGCTTAAACAACGAATACCCAGATTGCCACCTCACGCCACGGTGCTTGCCGCTGGTTGCCTGCTGCTGCCGCACGCCGACTGAAGATCGATCACAGGTGGCGGGTACGAAAAAAAATGGTACATATGAAAACGGCGGTGCATCAAGCAACGCAGACAGACGGCTTCAGAAACACTTACCGTTGTCCGTGCCGCAGTAACGCCTCACATAAATCTCTTCACCGTGTCACGATATGTGCAAGCGGCAGCAGAGAGCCTCCACGGCCGGCCACGGCACATACACACCGGTGGGGTGAGCAGGCTGCATTTCTCCCCACTGCGGGGAGACGCAGCTGAAAGCTTTTTGATTATCTCGCGTGGTACAACCATATTTTTCCATTCGACGGCCCCCCTTCTCCAGCTCGCTCGCTCGGCAGGAGGCGACACAGCAACACCGTTCGACGATAGCTGCAGCTCTTCTCTGTTTTCCATCGACAGGATTGGCCCAATCACATCTTGCCCTGATTGCCGGAGATACCGCAGGGGAAGTTTGCTGGGTGGTGAACGAGACACCCGGGTAAACGTGAGTCTGCATTCAAGGCTTGATTTTGAATGGGTGGGTGCCGTGCGTCTCACACCGCCGCCTACCGCCCGGTGCACACGGCGGCATGAGCGGTCCGTATCGACTGCACAGGGGGGCTGATGCAGACAGAGATGGAGGAGGAGGAGATTCCTGGTTCGGGTGTTGATGAGGACGATTGCGCAAAGGTCCCACAGAGTTGGGAGCATTGGTTGTTGAGTGCCGGGGAGAAGTTGGTGCTGACCCCTCTCGGGCACACACTGCTGTCACATACGCGCCCGTCCCAACCTGATCTGCTGAAGGATGCATCTTGTGTGATGATGTACTGAAACTGCTGTGCAGGTACAAAAATTATATTCGTAGCGGGCGTGCCAGCGTAGTAACAATTTGTTGAACTGCTCTATCTGCTGTATCTACCTACATTTTCTGCATACACATCATGGCCAGCGCAATTTTTTTCGGCGCCTGTGTTGTAGCATGCACAAATTACATACAAAAGCTCTTTCAAACACATCCTGTGTCCTTCTCTGTGTCGCCATGGCGAACGTCTTTAGCCTCCCCATGTACTTTCTTGATCGAGCTGTTGAATGCCATCGAGGTACTGCTCGGGCGTTTAGACGTGTTCCCCCCCTGTTCAAAATGTTGTTCCTGTGTTGAACCCAATGCTCCTTGAAAGACCGCACAACGTTGACGAGGGGATGAGACAGCAAGCAGAAAGAGAGACGGGAGGAGGGGGGGCGGGGGGGGGGGGGGGAGGCCCCGGTGTTCCGGCTCTCTGACAATACTGCTGTAGGAACCAAGCCATCGAATATATCCCACCATCGTATGCATGCAGATATACCATCCCATGCGGTAGACCTCCCGCCCCTTGTCACTACGTCTCGCGTTCTCTTGGACATTCTACATGCACCCTGCAACAATAGCACTGCTGTGGTCTGGCAGCTACCTCCGCTCTACACATCATTTTGGCTCCGGCTCTCACCACGCGGGTAGGCAAGCCCGCAACAGCAGCACAAGGGCAAAATGTCGTCTTTCGGGGGAGGGTCGGGGTCCATGCTGGTCCTTAACGATCCAGCGGCGCAGCTGTCTAGCGTGGAAGGGAAGGCGGCGACATCCGCCGCACCGGTGACCAACCTCTCTGCCTTCGCCAGCAGCAACGACATCGTCGTCAAGGTGTGCTGTGTGTGTTCGCTTCGAGTGTACTACTATAGCATCGACCGCGCAAACCGGCTGACCAATGAAGTGACCGGTTTCTTCCCGCTCACTGCAAAGACTTGAATACGTTCCCTTCGATTCTCTGTGGTTTTACCTAGAACGGGTATCTACCCTATATCTGTGATGGCATGTATATTTCTAGAAAGACGTGAGGTCTTTTTTGGAGTGTTTGTATGGTGGGTCTTGTGGGATGTGCCGTCGCCAAGCGGGGCAAACGGTGCCTTTGTCGCACGGCGTTTGGCTGGTAAACGTTTGGTGTGTTTCTCTTCCTCGGCCGGGCCTCCCGTTGGGCGGGGAACCCGAGGCCCTTGGCGAGAGGAACAGACGGTTCAAACCGTCGTCGTCAGATGTGACCGCGGTCGTAGAGTCGTGCGTGCATTCATGCACTGATCGTGGTCTCTTCTTGTTGAATCACACACAACGTGAATTGACCAAACTGATGCCACTGACGGCTTCATTACCTTTCTTACGAGTTTGCGCCGCGAGAGAGGCGGGCGTATGGCGGTCGACGGGACAATCCAGTCTGCGTTGCCCCGATCGCGGTTCCATTCCTATAGTATGTTGTAGCTCAAGCAAGAGAGTGAGAAGGGCCCACGCTCTCCACTCGTGATCCGGGCAGCAACAACGCCGCGCGATAGAAACGCACGGGATTCATGAGTATGGTGCAGAATTCAGTGGTGCTTCATAAGCATCTTGGCATGCGTCACCGGAGGACCAAAAGCGTGTAATATCGCATGAACTTCGTACCGTATTCGTGCGAATGTGTGCAACACGGCTCGTTTGTGCTTCTTTCAGTATTTAATCCCCAAGACTAGGGGCCCTGTTTTCCGCCATATTTTCATCTCCCCATCTCTGTACCATGGACGTCGCAATCGTGCTCTCTTCATGTCGTGACGCTGCTGTACCGCTGTTGTCGATGTTGGATGACCGAGCATCACGAGTATGCGATACAAACCAGAACCCCACCAGCGGCATCGTGGGGCTAATTTTACCCATCTGGTGTAGCTCTTGCACCACATTTTTTTAGCAGCTCGCGTTCCAAGCTTGCCGGTACGCTAGCCACCGCTCCTCCTAACGCTCTACTCCCCCTGCCTTTTGAATTCGGTGACCAGGTTCACCCGATGGTGCTGTTCTCGGTGTTGGACCACTACCTCCGACGACCGGAGAACCAGAAGCGCGTTATCGGGACCTTGTTGGGCACCGTGACGGCGAACGTTGTCGAGATCACTAACTCGTTCGCCGTGCCCCACCTGGAGAAGAATGACGAGGTGCGTGTGACACGTATTGTGAAGCCCACCCCTGTTTTAATTCTCTGACCGGGTGTGGCATGCCTTTTTTTTGTCAAAGACCACCGGCTGTTTGTTTGTTTCATGTGTGTTGACATCGTTAGCTCGTTCGCCGTGCCGCACACCTGGAGAAGAACGACGAGGTGCATACGCGTAAGACTTCTTAGATCACGGGCTGTTTATTCCCGGCTCGAGTGTGCGACCTTTGTTCCTAAGACCACTGCCGGTTTATTCTCTGACGGGGTGTGGTGTTTACTCTCAAGACCACTGCCTGTTTGTTCCCTGACGAGGTGTGACATATTCTCAAGACTTACACACCTGTGTGCTGGCGTCTTTGTTTCATTTTGTATTTTTCTGCACATGATCATTCTTCGCGTGATGCCTAAATACATATGATGATGGACGGTACGAGCAGTGCTATCAGTAGTGTTTTGTCCTGGGTGACTTTTTAGTCCTGTCACCCTTCGTATGTAGCACACTTTGGGTTTTCTTTTGGGTGACAGTTTTTGTTGTTTGGGCGACATTTTTCTCTTTCTCCTGGGTGGCGCATGTTGATTTGCTCCTCCCCGTCTGGTTATTTCAGCCTTCTTTTTCCTCTTTCGTCATATAGTACTGTACGCGTGCTAAACTCCTCTTGCTCTTTCATTTCCTCCCTCTCTCTCGATATTTCTCGCGCTAATCAATTGTTCATGTTGGTGGTCGGTGTCCTGCTGGGTGCCCCTTAAAGGTCGCCGTGGGTAAGGACTTCAACAAGTCCATGCTCGCGTTGCAGCAGCGGGTCAACGGGAGAGAATCAGTCGTCGGCTGGTAAGGAACAAGCCGGAATGCTGGGATCATCATAAGACAGTAGTAGCCTTGCGGTGATACTATCGTGTACGACACAAGACACCGCACCCCCTGGACCGATTTTCAAAGCTTGATATATCAACAGCAGAGAGAGTGGGGGTGATGAAAACGGCGACGCTGAAGCCGCCTGGTCGAGAGCTTCCCGAAAACTTATCATCGTTTCGTTTATACATCCCTCTTGGTCGTGGAGCAATCGAGCTTTGAGAATCGGTCCAGGGGGTGTGTTATATTGTGTAGCACACGGTTAGCTTGGTGTTAGTAGGGGATACGTGGTGTGGTTGACGGTTAGGGTTAGGTATACAACCCCCCCCTCTTAAGTCCGTATAGGCTAAGTACAGTCGGGGGCCCTCTATAGTGCCGGTGCCCGGAATAATGCCGGTAGAAATCTCGGGACACACCCTGGCACTATAGAGGGCCCCCCACTGTACAGTGGTGGCTACCGTTTAAGAGAGGGTCGTGACAAGCCAGTTTTTCTCTCCTAAGTCCGGTTTTCTCTTTAACCGTACTGTGAAATATATTTATTTCTCATGGTCGTGACAAGCCAGTTTGACTTTCTGTAAAATACTCTGTCTTAAACCGTAGCCACCACTGTAATTTTATCCTCGTACAGGCGGTCCTCGTTTCATTAATAGGTGGTGCGCCTGTCTTGAGGGGGCACCAGCCTGTTTGTTTGAAGCCGCTGAATGCTGCTGCCCATGTGCATGTTTGCCGATTGGGTCGGTGTTGACTCTGTTGACTGTGTCGCTGCTGCTGTGGCCTGCCGTTTTGGATATTTTCTCGGGGCAGATATCTGGTCTCTGCGGCTTCGTGTTTGTTTTTATTATTTGCATCGACCGCGCTAACCGTCTGACCAATGAAAATACGTCAGTCTTAGTGCGGTTGAAAACACAAATCACTTCTAAATGCCATTAGCTGGGACGCCGTGAGGGGGCGGCATGGGGGAGATTAATCTATTCTACGGATCAAAGACAGAAACGGTAGGAACAGAAGAAAACTGCACACGTCTACGAAGGCTGCTACCTTGCACTCGAGATCGCTTTGGAGTGTGTGTTTTTTGGATCAGCTCACACACGTAGAAGCTCTAATCCATGGTGACACAGAAGATTGCTTTTCCCTACACCCGCCCCTCCTGCGCATTTTTTGGCTTAACAGAATCCAAACCTGCCGTTTGATTATTTGTGTTTTTTTGGTGCTGCACGTTTCGAAGCCGGGCAAGTCTAACGAAGGTGGCTTGCCACGGTCAAATAATCGCTGCTAGAACAATGCCCCAAAAGGGGGCGACGAGAGGTTTTGGGTGGGAGGGGTTCGCGAGAATGTCCTTCTCTGGTCGAACTTACTCTCAATAACCTCGCGTGCATTTTGTTTTCACTCTGCCTTTCGCGGGCGTCGTTCGCGAGAACGTCCAGCTCGCCGTCCTATCTGGAGACGATGCGCGTGTCCTTCTCTGATCGAACCTGCTCTGAATAACCTCGCGTGCGTTTTGTTTACACTCTGCCGTGCCTTGCTGGCGTCGGTTTTTCCTCCCACGACTGACCCTCTCCAGCAGTATTGGAATTCCGAACGAGATATAAGTGAAGGAAGTATTTGTTGACCTTGTCACGCCCGTCTTTTTTGTGATGCGTGTGCGGCGGTGGTGTTGACGACGATGGAAGGTACGCGACGTCCTTCGATGGCGTTCTTATCGTGGACGACTCCTCTCTCATCCACGACTTCTACACCGGGGAGTGCGAGCGACCGGTGCATCTCGTCGTCGACACCGCATTGAAGGTGCAAAACCAGAAAGAATATCCCGTGATACCGCTGTACTACGCAGTTTTGTTAGCTTTTCTGTTTGGTTTTGTTGTGGTTGGATGGGCTCTTGGACTCGACACATGTCAGCTGTGCGGAGTGTTCGAGCTTACACACAAAGTCACGACTGACAAGAGTCTGGCAGCTCGTGGAGCTTTGTTTTTCATCTTGCATCACCCCTCGATGACACTACTGCTGTGCTCTCATGAACCCACTCCTGGGAGCACCCTTGTGGCAGGAAGAATGAGTATATGCTCTACGTTCAAGGTGGGTGGGCCGAAGAATGCCGAAGATGTCGACGAATCGTCAACAGTTGCACCGCATCGGCCATGCCAACGCCAAAGCGCTTGGCAGCCGGTATTGATACTGGCATGTTCGTGAAGCAGGCGGCAAAAAACAGAGGGAGAACTGGCGTTGTTTGGCTGAGGTCGAGAGAGCTGCGTTGTGCCGGTGATGCCGAAACTTTATTAAGACTTTGATGCTGAATACTGACACTGAGGAAGCAAAACACGACTACGATGGAGTGACGGCACAATAGCGGTTTCTCATACTGCGAAGAGTTTGGTCGCTACCCTGTTATCGGCGTAAAGTATGCGTTGTTTTGTTTGACTGCTGTCTTGTGGTCTGATCGTTTGGGCTGTTGGTTCAGACTAGCACCTGCTGTTTTCATTTGCTCTGCATTTCAAAACTTTTTCGGGCATGGGTGCTGACCTCGCACAGAGGAATAATTTCAAACCTGCTGGACCTAAGGCACTACAATATTCTGAAAACGGAACGTCCCATCGCGTTGCCAACTTCCATTTTTCTTCATTTTTCACCGTTACCATTTTTTTTTCCTTTTTCGCAGCACATCACCGTCTCATCATCTCTGGGGTTTTCTTTTGTTCCGTACCGTGTTTTTTTATTCCGTACCGTTTTTGCAGAACAACATCGTTGGGTGCAAGGCGTTCATCAGCACCCCGCTGGAGATCGACGGGTCGGCCCTCGCCAACGTGTTCCACGAGGTAAAGGTTAGCCTCGTCTCGGCGGAGGCAGAGCGCATCTGTATCGACCGAATGGTCAAGGGCCAGGAGGAGGCGTTTACGACTCCTGAGGGGCTTGCGGAGGTGGACAGCAGAATGGCTAGCTTGGTGAGTTTTTGGCGCTGGCGTCGCCTTCCGGGGGGGGGGGGAGGGGGCGTGACTCTGAAGTTGTTTTTACCTTATCGGTGAGACCATGTGTCCTCGAGAGGACGGAGCATTATTCCCAGAGGGCCGATCACCGATGGCCAATCGACCTCCCCACTTGCCAAAACAGGTGGAGGGGCGCGTATTTATGTTTTGCATGCCTTAGCGGCTAGACCAGACGTGCAAATCATCAATACGACGCCCCCCCCGCCCGCCCCCTGGGGGACACGTCTGCTGAAAAGGGGCGGGGAGATACACCTTGCTCAGCACGGCTCGTAGCAGCGTCCAAAATCGATGGATGGATGTAAAGGTTCTGGTGAAAGAAATTCCAGGTGCAATTCGGCAAAGTCTAGGCGGAGGATGGATGCATCAACGGTATGATAATTATTGTACGCATCCTCGTCCCGTACCGGTCAACTCTCTCTTCACTCACAGGTCGCTGGTGTTGCCCTTTTGTCGCCTCTCCTTGTCGCGACTCTCGTTGGAGGGATGGGCAAACCATTACTCAATACCCCCTCCAACGAAAGTCTCGGCAAGGCGGGGCGAAGAAGCGCAAGGCCAGCGACCGGTGAGTGCGGAGAGGGAGCGCCCAAGCACGGAGAAGGATAAGCTTGTGGATGATACATCCCCCGCCTACATTCTCAAGCACTGCCGAATTTCGCCCCTGGAATTCGTTCACATTAGAAGCCTTCACCCCGCGTCTATCCGTTTTTCAGCACACCCCTTTGGGGAGGCTTTCATCCGATGAAACGAAAACATCCCCCAACGATGGGTGTTGCCGGAATTTGAACGTTGGTGGAGGGTTTGTTTTTTGTTCTTTTTTCCATCTTTTTGTGGCCGTTGGTAGCCCAAACGGGCAAGCAAGGACCCCACCCGTTGGCGAAATGTTGGGGTCTTGGTGGTGACCCTTTTCGTGGTACAACCGGTGCTGCTACTCAATGCTGCAAAGTTGTTTTGATAGAAAACGCGGTGTTGGGTGGGTAAGTCCTTGGCTATTTTTCTCGTGCACGTAAAGCAGTAGGAAACTGCTGGTTTCAATTTGGATCCGGTCACCTAGTCTTGGTGTCCGGTCGTTGTTGTTGCTTACGATGGTTATAACCCTCGTGTGTCTCGCCTACAACTGCGTGTGTTTTTCGGTGGTTCTGTTTGCCCTGTCTTTAACTGCGCGTGTTCGTTGGTACTGACCCTTGTGCATCTCACCTCTTGATCACGCGTGTCTGTTGGCTATGTCTCTGAACATGGTTCCACCAGGAAACGTCGATGCAGCGGTTGGTCACCATGTTGCAACAGGCGGAAGAATACGTGGGGACCGTTGTCGACGGGAAGCTTCCCGCCGACCCTCACATGGGCCGTAAGGTGCGTTTTCACCTCATGGATTGATTTGATTGTTGAGGCCGTCATTGTTCGTTTATGGTCTTGCTCGTATGGGCTTTGTTCTGCCGAGCATGGGTCGCACGCATGGTGCTGATTTCTTCGCTGTGTTTTTGTTCTGGGTTTGCGCTGATGAATGACATGATCACTTTCTCACCCGTCCGTCCATGAGTTGGAACCTCATGACGTATAGAACATGTTGGCGTTTTGGTCCTGTGAGCTACACATACAAGGTAATTTACGCCTGATCGCCGTGATGACAAGAACATGAGCGAGGACCAAATATTTCCACCATACGTTTGTGGGCAAGTCCATCGTTAGTTAAGATTATTTTTTGGAGATACCCGAAACGGTGCCGTCCGGTTGAAAGCATCGTGACTCTGCTATTAAGCACGCGTTTTCGCGTTTTGGTCCAGTGAGCTACATAAAAGGTAATTTACGCCTGATCCCTGTGATGACAAAAACATGAGTGAGGACCAAATATTTTTACCATACGTTTCTGAGCAAGTCCATCGTTCGTTAAGATTATTCTTGGAGATACATGAAACGGTGCAGTGCGATTGAAACCATTTTTACGCTGCCATTACGTACAATTGTACACGTAGTCGAGTTTTGGTCCAGTGAGCTACATAAAAGGTAATTTACGCCTGATCTCAGTGATGACAAAAACATGAGTGAGGACCAAACAAAAACCGGCGGCGCAATACTTGCCTCTGAAACGGTGACCGATACAGATACAGCTTGACCATCCCGCGCGGCCCACCCAACTTTTCGGTGTGTTCCATCAGTCCATCTCCATCCGATAGGTCTTACATACAGATTATATGTACTGTTTTGTAGATGCATGCAGTTTTAATGTGGTTTTGCAGCACTACTTGTTTATGTTTGAGATTTTCGTGTTTTGCCATCCAATGTCGAAGGTGGACCTGTGTCCTCTTGTGTGACATACCTCTGTCACCTGTTCGGGTTTTGAAAATGACGGGCTTTGGTGGTTGTTTCGCGAGTTTGGTCCGGTGAGCTTCACATAAAAGGTAATTTACGCCTGATCTCAGTGATGACAAAAACATGAGTGAGGACCATTCTGGCGGTAGTCTATGCATTGGAGCCACACAAGATACCCCAGCGGCTGTCAGTCTTGAAATACAGACAGAAAAATCCGTTCTCAGGGAGACGATATGTCTCGGCAACTTCTCCCAGTGTAGAGCACGAGCCTTTGGGTCAAGCACACTTGCACAACCGTCATGTATCTTTTTTTAGGAACAGGCCTGGATATGTCATGTTCGTGATGTTGACTTGTTGATTGTCGCCCATGGCGGGGCGCCATGCCGCCTTTCGCCAATGCGGATTGTTTGTGAGGGTGATGCCCGGAGCAGCTAGACCTGCGCGACAGTCTCTAACTTTTTTTTCTTTTTCTCAAGTCTCGAATTGAAAGACATTCCAGCTCACTGCCTGTGTGCTTGGACAACATGTAACTCAAGAGCGGTATTTGCGTGACCGGCGGCGAGACGTCCTGTGAGCTTCAAATTTAATTAAACTCTGAGCTTCGGCGCTGCAGAGAGAATGTCGAAATCAGCGAGGGCGAACAACAGGTTGCAGACCGCGCTGTGTGTTAGACAAGTAGGTTTGGAGTTAGATGTGCTGATCGGCTATTTAGACACAAAAAATCGCCGAGGGCTTGAGTGCTCATTTATGCTATGATGCCGTTGCGTGTGACTATAATAGTACTGTGGTGTGCTGAAGTGTGATGGCCCGGTGTGGCTAATAATGTACCTGCGTCGGTGCGCGTTTCGATCGAGTGTTGCCATCTTGCCATGGTGTGTTGCAGTCATCAGTATCCAAGCGCACACGATCGCGTACCGTGTGTTGATCCTGCCCAGTCTGGTGCCCTTGTCCTTGGATAGAGTTGAAACGGATAATGCCCTCGATTCTCGTTCTCTCTGTCACGACGTATGCAGTAGGTGCCCTTAATAAATTGTCGATCGGAAAGTGTATGCCACGTTGTTTTTTGTTTTTTGCTGGCCTGATGCGTTCGTTGCCCAGGCCAGGGTGTGAAACCATGGTGCCATCAAGAGCCCAATCACTTATTTGCATGCTTTTCAACATGATATCGAAGATGCCGATGGGAATGCATCACCACCCCTTGTCACAACTGCGCTTCCCTTTGTGTTTTCCGGTTCTCCCTCCCTCGCTTTTTCTTGTTCCCCGCAGCTGGCCGACACTCTCGCCGCCATCCCGCGAATGAGACCGGAGGCCTTCAACCGCCTTTTCGACGACAATCTTCAGGACCTCCTTATGGTCTCTTACCTCAGCAGCCTTACAAGGACACAGCTCGCGATAGCAGAGAAGCTGGCCACGTGATGGATGGTCGAACCCTTCGGGACCGGGATTGTTTTTTTAGTATGTTGGCGGGGGATGAGTTGAGGTCCAGGTCTTGGTGTTGTCTAGAAGACATGCAGCGGGAGGACGAATGAATCCAGCTACTGTAACGTGGGTGGGGTGAAAGGAAACTGTCAGGACGTTGTCGATATCTCGGCAGGCTCAATAAACAGAAGGGCTCAGAAGAGGCGTTGGTGTCGGTTTGGTTGGAGACCAGACCGATATAGGACCTTTCCTCTAATGGCTCGGAGGGCTACTTGATGTTGGCAGGAGGGCTAGCCATGTACGCCTCTCAACGAGACATACATGTAGCTCGCGACGGCCGATGTAGAATAGCGCCGTATGTCGACTGGATACAGACCGCTCTTCCATCGGTGCAACGGTAGAGTGCTGTGTGGGGCTCGTGCAGGGGTCTTGCTGCTGCCCGCCGGCGATCGAGCATTTTCGACCTGTTGATTCCTCGAGTGTTGCCGGTGCTGGTAGAGGGGGCCCAACGCAGCATGTTGATTGCGCTATGCACTTTTTTTTTTATTGTCCTTTTGGTGGCTGATAGTCGAGAGGCCAAGATGTGCGTGGCGAGGGTATGCGGCATTTTTTTTTTTAGTAGTCAGAAGCCGTTTCGTGTGGTGCAAGCTTAAGATTTAGAGGGAATTCGGGAGAGACGAACACGAATATTTCGAAAAAATGACGAGTCGCGAGTCTTGGGTCAAGGGAAAAAAGCCAGTGCTCTCCTGCTGGCTATCGACGTGGAACGCGTTCCTCAGCCGTTTTCACATAAGGGCGGAGGACCAGGGCAATGAGGTCTAACCTTTGGCTGAGTATTTCGGCCTGAGATCGGCTCTCTGCCGCTTCTGTGCGTAACGGTGGGTGAAGCAGCGGTAATGTAGCGTGAGTTCAATTCTTTGTGGGGCAACAAGACACACTCCAGATTAGGCAGTGTTCCGTAGGATGTGTGATGTGCGAGAGCCTCCAACCTCCACCACCCCTCTGTGGTTGGAAACACTGCAGTGAGTGTTGCGATACGGACCACCCCTCTGTGGTCTCTGTGGTTGGAAATACTGTAGTGAGTGTTGCGATACGGAGTGTCGTATTGGTTGGGAGGTTTCCACGTGGACGCCCCCGACCAACAACGTGCCACATCGCATCGACGCTGCCTCTTGCCGGAGACGGGGACCGGTTGTGGACAACGAAAACTAGCCGTGGCAAGATCGAACCAACCTTTTTTTCGGGTGGTTTCCATCGTCACTGGTTTCCATGTTCTGCGTCAGCAATCGCCGGCAATAAACTCCACTCAAGTTAACACTCGGACGATCTCCGTCTGGTTTGCCTAGTTGCTTCCAACAACGGTTGTTTCGGAGAAGAAGGAAAAGAGATGAGCCGAGACCTGCCGAGAGACAAAAAAAAAAAAAAAGCTCGTGGCATACTATAGCAGTGCACGCGGACGTGCTGTTTCTTGTGTGCTGACACCTGAAATACACTACCAGTATACGAACTGCTGTTTGTTACTGCTGTGGTGCTCCCAATCTCGACACTCTGCATGCATCGTGTGTCGTCGGGCTGTTGGTTGCATTAGCCACGCCATTATTATTGTTTTTCCTGAGAGGAACAACAGATTCCCGTGGCGAACAGAGATTGGGGGAACCAACCAACATTGTTGTGCCCTTCCTCGTGCTTCATGCAAACATGAACCCCTGCCTTATCGGCATGTTGAGGGACGATTCCGACGGGGAGATGGTATCTCCTACACTCGAAGTGTGGTGTTGCCCGTTCCTGCGAAGAGTTTTGTAAGATTCGGTGACTCGATCACCTAAAAATACCCCCAACCCGCCATATCTTGTTATTGTATTGATACAGGGTGGGGTTTTGGATACTTGTGTTTTCGGGCGTGCGCGACATGCATGTCTCCATCACGCTGCACTACACACGACTACCGTTGACCCGCCCTCCCTAGTGTTGGCGGTTGAGGTGCCAGGGCCAAGAGGTAGACCACTAAATCTTTGGAGATAACAATCCGATGCACGATGCCCTAAACTCGCTCCAGCAACCTATTGCGTGTTGATTGGCCAATCAACGATCGCGATCCGACGGTCCCTTCTTTTACAGTCCGGACCCCGTGAGGAGCATTCTTTGGGCGCCGGACAGAGCACAGAGAGAGCGCAGGAAGGGAGAGGAGGGGGAAAGCACAACCCAGCAGAAGCCATGTTGTTGCCGGAGCCTAAAAAGACAGACCTGAAGGTGAGATAGGTAGGCGCGGTGCCGCCGCGGCGTGGCGGCAAGCCTAGCAAGTCGTGGCAATCGAGACATGGCATATTCCGATCGAGCACACCACACCTGGTGCTAGATTTTTGATTCCATGAACCATGGAGTGCCTTCTACCTACACACATTACAAGCAGGCCAGCGGAAGGACGTGGACGGGGAACTCTATTTGTGCCCTCCATGAAGTAGCTGACGACTGTGGGTGGTGGTCTCATGCTCAGGGTGCTCCGTAATCCTGTCGTGCTGACTGAGCTTGCAGCGATCTCTGCTCTACTCTCTCCCGATGTTTCCCGTTGTGTGTGAGGTCATCCCGAGGTCATTTCGTCATTTCCTCTTCGATTCGAATTTTTTTAGGAAAAATCTCAACTGCCCTCGGCGCCACAGGCTCTTTGGCTCGCACCACGGTCGCGATATGTGATATGTATGCGGCTTGGCACGTAAGACAGAAAGCTCTACTCAATCAACCACACGATCGCAGCGAGTTCCACAAGCGTTCGTGTCTGTGTCCGTGTAGTCGGTGTTCAAACATGGTCGTGCTGGATTCGACGTTGTTGTTGGTGGTCGGTGGGGTCGCCAATAAATCGCGGCCTGTCAGCAGCTGTTCCACGTATGGGATGGTCGCACAAAGGAGCCAACAAACTGTTGGCGCTGTGTCAGAAGACTCCCCAGACCGACACCTTGACTGGCCATCCACGACGCTGGCTGGGTCGGACCATAGCGGTTCGGAGGTCTATATGATGTCGCTACGCATGGCCTGTAGCGGGGAGCAGCCGCTGCCATTCGCTCTCTTGAAGTTTGGTGTTATTGGTGGGCGAGCCGGCTCCGAACCGGCACACCTTACTTTCACCTTTTTGGGTGCGTTGTTTGCTGTGTGATCGGAGTACAGCAACAAAGGCAGCACGCGGTCAGCCCTGCCTCTTCACCTATCGTGGAGACTACAGTAGATCTCCCGTTGTGCATTTTCCTTGGGAACGTAGGTGTTGTGGTCGTGACAGCATGTTTGTTCGCACATTCGTCGTGCGGTTTGCGTGTGTGTGCGGACAGACTTTACTTGCATGTGACGTGGAGCCAACCGATTGCCACGGTGAGGTTGAATTTTGGTTTTGCCAAACTCTTGGCGTGCAGGCTGGGAAATCAGCACGCGATGAGATCATTCACCGTGATCTGACGCTTTGTTGCTGTGGTGCATGCTTTGCAGCCGTTTCGAAACTTGTGTGCCGTTTGCTGCTGCTGCTGTGTCACTTCGCAGCGGCAAGGCAAAATATGTAGCAAAAACCCCATTAGCTACAGCTCTTCTTGGACTTCGTACAATACATTTTTTTTTTTCTTCACTTCAAATCAGCTAGTGCCGTTTACTCCAACCCGTGGTCACACAGAAGAGCCCCGCTCTACTCTCCCCTCCTGCGGTACTTTGCCTTCGACTTTTAATGCGAGAAGAGTTCAGCACTCTCTTCCCTCTGTGTACACACGAACTAGCGCTATCCACTTGGCCAGGAGCGAAAGCGAGAGAAAAACTCACTTTGCAAGAAAAGCTCGCTTCGCCGGAATTCGAACCCATTACCTGACCTCTATTAGAAGGTTTCGAGGATTCCGACTAGACCACCGGGGCGACCGGGTATATCATGATGCAAACCTCCAATTCGTTGTGTCGCTTTGAGAGCAAACCGGACTGACCCGCGGGGGGAAAGACAGAACGAAAAATACATATATACTATTTATATATGGTACAATGCATGCTTTGTTTTGTACGTATCATATCCATATCTTGATGTGCATTCCAACAAGTTTGGTAGTGATCTCTGACCTCTTCCTTCATGTCAATGTGCCCACCTTCCGACTGCACATGTGTTCAAAAACTGCTCCATGTACCAGTCTCCACAGCAGAAGGTGTTTACATGTCTTTGGTATCTGCATTTTTTTTGCTCTTCCCCCTTCTTGTCCTCTCGACTGTTTCCTTCTCGTTCACCTTCGGTCTGTAGAGTCCACGCACAGCAGCAGTTCCTTGAATGTGCACAATTACTTGAATGCTCGCCCTATGCGTGTACGGTTTTGCGTTACTCGAACACTCCGATGGCAGTCCTGTAATTCTTAATCCGACGGCGGTCAAGACGAAGACAACAAAATTGCAGCATCGGCAACCGAGCACCACCACCATCACTGCAAACCAACACAACCAGCTAACATACATACACGCGTGCTGCACATTGTACAAGTACATGATAAAAGGGTCAAAACGACGACAACAACAACAGCAGCAGCTCACCACCACCACCACCAACAACAACAAAACAACCAACGCACCCTTACGTACGTGTATGCTCCCAAGATACCAAATTCTGTTCCACTACTTCATGTATTCCACCACATGATAAAATTACTCCTGTTACTTTTTTTTTTTTTTAGCACTACTGGTGTTCCACCGCTTCAATTCTATGCAGAGCTTATACTGTTGTCCTATACACTAACACTCTTTAATACTACACTATTCCAGGGTTCACCGGAAGGCAAGGTCGTTCCCGGCTTTCCGACGGAAAGCGTTAGGGAATTCTCGCCGGATTCATCATCACCGACATCAGCATCGCCAATCATGGTGCGTTCGTTATATTGGAAGCATCTGTGGATGTCTCGCCCACTGCCGTTGGTGTGGAGGGTTTCCGCAGTGTTAGTGTTTTATTTTTTGGGCGTAAGAAAAGGCATGTGTGCGTATCGAACCTCTTGTTAAAGTGGTGTTTATCCCGTCTGTTCTGTGAGCCAGTCTACTGCTTGGAGTTGCTCGTATGCATACACGTTTGGGTGTATGTTTTTTGTTTCTCGCTCCAGCCGTGAGTTGGGCTCTCATCCAGCCTCGCAGAGAGGCTTCCGTGCACTTACCTTGTGCGTGTGCATTGGAGTGCGAGCATGTTGGTGATGAAAATCACACGTCCGAGAAACGATACAAGTTGTTCTCACAAGCGTTTTTGAAACAAGATGACCATATACTTGTCAACCACGACACCGAACCAACCCTACACACTCTCTTTTGTGTGCACATATGTCAGGCTAATGACCCTGTACGTAGTGTAGTCCCGAAAACGTATTCTCTCACAGCCACCTTGGCAACGGTGGGCTCAGTTTTGTTACCGCTCATGACTTTGCCGTGTTGTTTTGGCCAATCGTTGTCCACCAGGTGCGGCGTATCTCCATGGACGACAAGGCCAAGCTGAAGGCGTTTTCCATCGAAAACGACAGCGCCGGCTGGCTTAAGAAGAAGCTCTTCAAGAAGGTGACTAACCCCAAACTTGACCCTCACCCTCATCCTCACCTAACTTAAACAATATAAATAGAAAGCAGTATATGGCTGGCCCGAGTAGCGCCTTCAAGATATTGAACGTCTCTAAATCGGGAGCCCATAGTTGTTTCATCTTTCCTCGTTTGGTTGCTGGCTACACTCGGTGCAATGCTGTGTTTTTCTCGACGTTATGCGCAGGAGCATGTTTTCTCTCGACGTGATACGCAGGTTTCAAAAGAAAGCGACGGAGAGGGGCATGAGGGGCGGGGAGGTGCTCTCTCCTCTTGCCCCCTTGTTTTCCTTAGCCCACCCGGGGTTGAGCCACACGGTGCCCCCCCCCCCCCCCCCATATACGGGCCCCCCCAACACGAGAACGTCTCCACCCCCATCATCAGAGGTATCGAGGTGTTTTCGTATGCATACACCTTGCTTGGCGGAAATGTCAGCTCAGATCCATCCTCTTCGAAACCGTACACTACATGTATTGTCCTCGCGCGCACCCCACACAGGAAGTGACATGGCCGCGGGAGCTTTACTTGAACGTTCTCGGGTGCAAGGCCCTGGTGCCGCAGTCCGCCGTGGGTGAGGGTGGGCCTCTCACCGCCACGGCGAGCGTCACCACGGACGGGGAGAACGGGGACGCTGCGGGCACTGCTGCTGCTGGTGTTATCCTGGCTGGTGTGGGGGGTGACATCGACGCCAGAGTTAACCCTGAACGCGCTACCCCTCCGCCAGGTATGTCTAGGAATCTCAGCTATGTTGATTTCGCCTATTCGTATCCTATAGATACCAGACACACAGTCGTACTCGATGACGGGTGTTGCGGGCGGCAATAGGCACGCCACACAGGCTTTTGTTAGAGTGTGCGCGAGAAGTTGGAGGGCGCTTGTTTTCCGCAGTGCCTTGTTTGCGCGTGTTACGAGACAATGGTGTGTACAGGAGAGGACCGGTGCAGCCCATGACGCCGCGCCTTGGATGTGGCTTTGGTCCCAACGGAGCGCGGAAGTTGAATTGGTTTAGGTTGATCCGTTGCCAAAAACGGTGAAGGGAGGTAGGGTGTACCTGGTACTCCGTGTCTGGGCTACGAATTTGCCGTGATTTCGGTCTCGTGTTTGTTTTGTCATGAACCATGCGTATCACGTGTGCGTGCGGAGACGAGCGGTTTCAGTCTGTGCTGTATTGTGGCGTGAGTCTTGGGGCGCATACATAACACGTACTTCGTAATAACGATGTACACTCCCTTTGGTCCACACAAGGCGGAGCCCTGGGCGCAGCCGGAGGAGTGGTTGTCGCTACCCCCGGTACAGCTGACGGGACTGTCAACAGGACCGTCAGCGGGAGTGTTAGCGACAACCTGTCGCGGGGATTGGACACGGAGTCGGAGGGAGGGATTGAGTCAGGAGACGAGGCCACGAGCTCTGTAGGAGATGGGGCCGAACCGGTGGAAGACGTGAACGAGCTGATGTCGGCCCTGTCGTCCAACATGGAGGGTGGGGAGGTTAAGGAGGTGAAGGGGGAGTGCTTTGTGCGCATACGAAACGCCACGACTGGACGCGACTTGCAGGTGAGCAAATTGTTGAATGCTGCCAGCACGCGTGGTGGTCTCTACATCCGCTCCAAGCTGTAGTTGGCGTGTTTTTCTTTCGGACACCCACGACATATTTGCCCTCTCTCTCTCGTTCTGTCGTTTCTGTGGTGAAGTAGCACTTTTGTTCCACGGATGTCGTTTCCGTGGTACGTGACACTTTCATTCCACGGGTCCCTTCGATGCACATCGTGGTTTTGTCGGTCGGTCACGGCCGTGCAGCGATGCGTGCGTAAGGTACCAAGCGAGCGTTCAGCTTACTCTTGTCGACTCAGCCACGAACCGCCTCCTCGTTGGCCGTCTCCCCACCTTGGCAAGCACAACTTCGAGCCTGCTGCTGCTGCTGCTGCTGCTGCTGCTGCTGCTTCTGCTGTTGCTGCCTCAACCGATGTCCTTGACGCATGAGATATAAGGCTGCTTTTGTCTTTTCCCCGCAAGACGTGTTTATGTCATTTTTTGATGCACTGACCTGATGCGCGTTTCACTCGCCCCCCCCCCCCTCGCGCGCTACTACGTTCTCGTCAATCGATTCTTGCCAGACCGAAACCGTTTCCGGGGGCGCCAACATTGGGTTCCACGAGACTTTTGTGGTGCCGTGTCAGGGTCCCAGGGACGCCGTTGTGCTGGAAGTGTTCTTCGGGGAGGGCGAGAAGGCCGTCGCAATCGGTAAGCAACATGACAGCACTAGCGGTTACATTGGGAGCGAAGGGGGAGACGGAGTCGAAAAGGCGCATGCATTGCTCCCCCTCGCTACTCCTTTGGCAAAGTAGGAAGGAATGATTGTCCATGGGTGATGGGTCCAATTCTCTGTCCTCTCGAGGACGCGTGGTCCATGGTGATGTGGAGCGGCCTGTAAACTTGAGTAGCCTACTTGGTGACCTCGCACGTGGCTGGTCATGTGCACACCCTCTGTATCGGGCTGATCATATTTTGGCGACGCCCTTCCTCGTGATACTATTACAGTGTGATCCTTTTATAGAGTGATGCCATTATGGTGTGATGCTATTTTGGTGTGATACTATTATTGTGTTACACTATTTTTGTGTGATGCTATTATAGTGATACTTTTAAAGTTTGATACTTTAGTTTGATACTATGATAGTGTGATGCTTTAATAGTGTATGCTGACACGTGGCACATGACGCACATGGAGAGCAACCATCATTCAGTCGACCTCCCAGCTTCTTGTGCGACCCTCCACCCCCATTTCTTCGCAGACGTACGAGCGGCCCTTGCGCTCGAAACCCTACCCCATTCCGTCCCTCACTATTTAGTGTCCATTTGATGCCCCATTGCCCCGACTGCGGCATGCGTTTACATGAATACACCCCGCCCCCAAACATAACAAACGAGTATACCCTGGTCCGGTGAGAACCCGGCGTGCTCCGTCCCGGCTTTGTAGGGATGCGAGTCTAACGACTACGGCATGCACGACTATGAGTACACCCCCTCCCCCCCCCTCCCTTGCAGGCGATGCGGCCCTTCCGCTGGACGCCCGCGTGGTTGGCGTTTCCCACCCCGTGCTCCTGTCGGTGAAGGACAAGCAAGGGAGGAACAGGGGTTTCCTGAGGGTGGAAACGTTTTGGCTCGACGAGGCGAAGCCTAGGAAGGAGGTCGGCGAGTTCTACTACAAGGTGAGACGAGACGGAGGCTCTCCCTTGGCACGGCGGTTGTCAAAAGTTTTTGTCTCGCACGAGTGAGTGGTTAGCCCGCGCAAGCCCGAACGAGATGTGCGAGTTCTACGACAGGGTGGGAGTGTATGGTCTCTCGAGAGTGAGGTTGTACAGTATGGCAAAATAGTGATAATCGGTCTAATATTGCTGTTAGTGGCGCCCTCGAAACACCGGCGCGAGCGTACGACCCCAGCCCGGTGCATTCCCTTCGTTGCTGGTATCCATGGTAAATAGACTGCTGTGTTTACCCACCTATGAATCCCACGATGGTTCAACGCGGTGTGAGTATTTTTCTTTGTCGAAGAAACCACGGTTTTGCCTCCATATACTTTTAGCTTTTGGTTTAGAGATTGGTCGGTTTTTTTTTGGTGCGAAATATTTTCCCATTATTTTATTGATCTTGAATGATGTCTCTATCGGTGATGTATTGCCCCTGTTCCTGGCCCCGCCGTATCCTCCCCCTTCGACTGCTACCTTGCTTGTCTGATGGACATCTTTTGCTGTACGTGTGCGCGGGGCATGTCGCATCTCGTCGGGATCTTTCGTGAACCCATCCCCACACTCGAAGGTCGTACACCCCTGCGGCGTGCACTTGCGGAATCAGCCATGCACCGGGTCGGACAGGAGCGTTCACGTGCTGGGGTGTGGGGAGGTCTTCGTCGCTTGCGAGCGGCAGTGGGTGAGGACAGCAGTACGGTGGAGGCTTTCGAGCAGCGTCTTCCGGGCATGTTTGTTGTGCCGTGCGTTGTGGTTGGAGAGGTTCATCGTGTTGCAGCATCTACCGGCCGAATGCCTCTTTGCCGTGTGTTGTGGTTGGAGAGATTCATTGTGTTCCAGCTTCTACCGGCCAATTTCCTTGTGCCGTACGTTGTGGTTGGAGAGATCCGTGGGGTGTCGTAGTTTGCTGCGAACTATTATGAGGTAACTCATTGTACGGGTTTTAGAGTTGAGTGAAACGGACGGTTCCATATTTTGGAAGTGCCTAGAATGGAAAATTTGTGACGTCATCAGGAGCTGCGCCACTATTTTCCCGCCCACCGTCACTTCAGCACCGACAGTACCGAAAGTCGCCTCCTAATAGCTTTCTTGGGGGTGGTTTGCTACAAAAGCTTTCCATGAGGCGCGTTGAACTCTTGACCGCGATTTGCGATTGGTGCCATGCCGGTCGGTGATGGAGTATCTCGGTACGCCTGGGACGGGCGCGTGGAGGAATGGACAAAGTGCCTCTTGTTGGCGGACAACAACGATGGCCGTGCATTTGTTTGGTCATGATTGCTCTTTTACCTCTTTCTCGACGCGAACGGTTCCAGACCTCCGTATTTTTGTATATTACTTCGAATTTTCTTTTGGACTTGAGTGTGTGTGTGTGTTTTTTTTTGTAGGCCCTATTGTGCGGCCATCATTTCTCTTGCGCGAACGGTTTCAGACCTTGGTCTTCTCTCTCCGACGGCAATTATTTTTGTGCGCGTCTGCTCGTTTTTTGGGAAAACAGCACGTTGGCGGAGAACCCGTTGATGGCGACTGCAGCCCGGTGTTCGTCAAGTTGATGACCTCCAAGGACCGCTGGAACCGGTCCGGCTGGTGCTTCGAGACGCTCTGCAATAGCGGCGGAGTCAGCGTCCCGGTGCTGGAGCGCGCGAGTCCGCCCTTGAGAGAGGTGTGACGTGCAACCGCAGCCGCAGGGCGCATGGTACTGACATGTGTTGCGCCGAAGAAAGTATGGTCGGCGACGGTCAAGCCTGTGTTCTGGGGTGGTGTCTATACTGCTTACCAACATCAGGGTCGAGAAAGCTTGTGGAGCTGCATGTGTTGACCCCCCCCCCCCCCCCCCCAAAACTTTTTCTTTCCTCCTTTTTCCTTCTCTTTTTCTTC